AATAACTATTCGCATTAAGCTGGCTGGCTCAACCAGAGATATCCTCTTCTCTAATAGTACATAGTAGAACTTACTGGTTAACAACAAACAGACTGAAGAGCAGATAGGCACAGAAGTGTAGAATAATTTTACGTTATTATCTATTGAATATTATAGTGTTCGCATTTCATAAATTAAGATAATGCGCTGATTAGAAAGATTCCGGTAATACCGATTAAAGTTATATATAACAACTAATATAAGTTTGGATATAACTTCTTCCTTGATGTGGAGAGGTCTCAGCTCGTGACTCTGGTTGCAGTCGAGAGGTGCTCTTCGCTGGGAGTATACATTTGATCTTGGTTTAACGTAGGTTTCCGCTACTACTTGAATAAGAAACAACTTTTTAATGAGACATCATATTATCTCTATCAGAAAGATGCCACATACAATGTCAAAAAAAAAATTAGTACAAATTTTGATTGATTTTGTTCTGGTGGTGCCACCTGTTGTGAAGTCAGGTAATTATCAGCCCACCTAGTATATATTTTTAATAAGTGGAATTTTTGAATGTACTTACAGCCAGAAAAATAATTTGGTAGATTTATCAGATTTTAACTAAATCTCAGGTCCAAATATTGGTATGTTGGTTGATTCATATCTTCTTCACCACATGAGCTCAAATTTTTCTAACAAAATGATTAGTTCAATTTAACTAGTATGTGGTTAGAGCATATTTTTCTGTATCTATGTGTTAAAATAATGAAAATATCTTACTTACTTTAAATGCATATATAAATATATATGTATATAAGGTATATATATCAGAATTTATTAAAATATTTTCTACCGTTGTCAGTTGTTCGCTTACCATTTCCATTAATCACATAACGTTTCCATGAATATTAAATACTATAATTATTTATGTTGTGTTGTACAGTAGTTAATAAGTTAAATAATTAACTAATTAACCATTTAATTTGTAACCATGTAAGATTAAAAATATTTTAGTGGGACATTCAATATTTGCTTAAGTTTTCTTTATAAATATTTTAAAAATTTCTCATAATTCTCTTTATATAATTTCACAATAATAATCAACTTTATTAAATTTTTATTTAATTCAAACGAAAAAAGTATATATTGAGAGTTTACCTTTAATATAATTACACAAATAATTTTTGTTCTTTTTTTGTAAAAAAGAATTTGTAAAACTTTTATCATCAACCCAAAATGGCATATAAATAACTTTCAGTTCAAGTTAAATTCTTAAAAAATTCATATGAAAAATTTTCATTAAACTCAATTCAATTACTTAAAACAGCCGAATTCCTTCAGAACAGCAAAACTCATCATCGCAAGGATAATACTAAGATTTCCTTTGCAAATACTTTTATAGTCGAGAAGAAATATTTATATGAATACTCAAACTTTGGGAGAAGAGATGTGTACTATTTTGACTGCAAATTGAAAGACAAGGCCTAAACTTGTTGCATGAACACGAATTTAACAAAGGATTTTCGCCAAAAGCTTTTACCGCTCGTCTATTACAAAGGAAACGAATTTTAGTCCTTGGAACTTTGCCGAGCAACCAACAAATATCTTGTTCCGCCATGTCTTGAGCGGAATATTCGCTGCTTTTCTACTAGAATCGATTTAAATTTGACAATTGAATGGAATTTTATTTCTATAAAATTTAGCGTATTTATGCAATAAATGCTCTTGTGGGGTTTTTAATTAATTTACTTTGCTTTATTGAAACGTTTGGAAACGCTATTAAATTTGCATATAAATTTTGTTTTCAATCAAACCTCCACCGCTTCCCTCTATTGTGCAGATTGACTGTCATTATTGTGATTTACATGGCATTGATGGCGTATGCGATTTTTGACTGGAATTTCTTTTAGGTTTGCAATAATTCAGTTTCATAAATTGATTTTTGTCTATCAATCAATGATTTTTTTTTGATAACAGAAATTTTATTTGCCATTTTGTTTGACAGCATTTTTGATTTGACCGTACGTTTTCCGTCATTTAGCATTACTGCAGCCTTTTTGATTAACAGTTACTGTGTGGCATAAATGACATAAATCAAATAAATATCTCAACATTAATAATACAGACGAACCAATTACCTTTGAATTTAATGTAGTGCGCATAAGAAATTATTAAAGAATATTTTCACTAAAAATATATTTAACAATAAATCAATGAAAAAATAAATTTAATACAAAAAAAAATATAAAATCTCATCATCAGTGGTCTTAAGAAAAATTCGAATTTCTTAATTATTTTATAGTCCGCAAAATTTTAATAAATTAAATAAGAAAGTTTCATCTTAAAAAATATATTTAACAATAAATCAATGAAAAAATAAATTTAATACAAAAAAAAATATAAAATCTCATCATCAGTGGTCTTAAGAAAAATTCGAATTTCTTAATTATTTTATAGTCCGCAAAATTTTAATAAATTAAATAAAATTTTTGTCCTTATCTTTTCTTTGCTATTTGAACCCTTTCAACTTTTAAATAGTTTCTTTTTGTCACAAAGATGTATCATTCTCGACAAGAAAAAATTAACATTCAATATTATATTAAATATTTGAATTCAATAATTATTTTTTTAAGAGATTTTTTCGAACAGTATTGCCAAATACGCATCATCAGTGATCTTGGAAATAATTCTTGTATTTAATTATTCGTAAATAATTATTTGTGAGACTACAAGTACCAGGAATCGAACTCGGGTCCTGCCAAATGTGCTTGAAAATAGTTCTTGTATTTAATTATTCGTAAATAATAATTTTTGAGACTGCAAGTACCATAATTATTTTATATTAACCATTTATGAATTAGAAATATACATTTGAATTATAAGAGACATATTACATTTTAATTAGCTCACAATTTCATGCTAAAACGTTCATGCTTTAATCTGATGGCGTTGTATATAAGTTAACACTCGCGTACTCTCAAATCCGGGCCTTGCGCTTAGTTTCATTAACGGCATAATCATGCGATATTATTCGATTGCCTGATTGCTACCAATCGGGACATCAACTTGTTGCCTTTTTGGCCTTTTTGCTCGTTCATTTTTACTCGAACCAAAAAATTGGGTTTTATTATAATAAGATAATTAACTTATATATGGTATTCCATTTCATTCCATTTATAACGTAGAGTAGTAATCCTATTGGTTGATTACCCTGAGGATTGCACTTGAGAGCTTGCTATAAAAGACATTCTGTCCAAAATTTTTGGCATATATGTCGAATACTGTTGTTTATAAATACTCGTATATATGTCTAGCTCTATTTTGCTCATTTCCTTGTTTTATACCCATATAGTAGCCTCCTTCTCCAGTTGGAATAAAATATTTGTGGTTTTACTTTACTTCAAAATAACTGGATTTCCAAGTATTGCATATTTGACCAATCGTGGCTTTTACTTTATTATATATATAGTCCTAATCTACTTTACTCTGTATGTACTATTAATCTGCATTAATAAAGTTTTCATATTCGAGATATACAGTAATTTATTTACAACTTAATGATTTGGATGAGATATAGATTTAGATTTATATATAGATTTAGGTATAAATTTAGACATGGCTTTTACTTTGTTATATATAAGGTCCTAATCTACTTTACTCTACATGCACTATCAATCTGCATTAATAAAGTTTTCATATTCGAGATATACAGTAATTTATTTACAACTTATAGATTTGGATAAGATATAGATTTAGATTTATATATAGATTTAGATATAAATTTAGACATGGTATCAGATATAGATTTAGATGTAAATCTAGATTCATAAATGTAGTTTATAGATTTTATAAACTGGTTAATATATATAGTGACATTTTCATACAACGATGTATGAAATATATAGAATGTAATTCTTTAATCAAAAATATGATACAAATTGTAGTAGGAAACACGGTAGACTTATTTCTAATATTAATTGAAAAAAAAAAGTTGAAAATTTCAATATCATAAAAACAACATACCAA